CCTAATGAGGGCTTAGAACTCAAAGTCTCCTGGTTTCTAGCCTGGTGCCTTTAGATCAGGGGCCTCCAGCCTTGGCCACTTTAAGACTTGTGGACTTCAACTCCCAGAATTCCTCAACCAGCTTTGCAGCTTTGCTGGCTGAGGAATTCTGGGAGTTGAAGTCCACAAGTCTTAAAGTGGCCAAGGTTGGAGACCCCTGCTTTAGACCATACTGGCTATAAATACATACAGGTTGCCAAGTACCTGAATTATGATCACATGAATGTGGGGACACTGCAATGGTATAAATGGTATAAATATGAGGATTGGTCCTCAGCCACTTTTTTCAGAGCTGTTGTAACTTCAAATGGTTGTTAAAGGAATAGTCACGATTACCTGCAGTGGGACAGTTTGGAAACCCATACAGAGTTGAACTGGAGATCATCCAGGGCAGTTTCCAACCTGAGTGCCTCAGGTTGTATGGGTTTGAACAAAGGCTGAGAAATCAATGTCACTCTGTGGCATAAATGTAGATAAATCGAAGGAGAACTCCTGGATCTGAAGGCAGAACAATTTTGCCACATTTTTCAAAGACTCCTGGAATTACCCTGTTGACATATGGAAAGGGAAAGCATTTTGTTTCACTGCTCGTATGAAACTGTATTTTTGATTGAGCATGTAGACTAGTGAAGGTGACAAATCTGTCACTTCACATTGAAGCTTTTGGGTAACTGGGGAACATTCTGTTATGCTGGAAGGGAGTTGGCATATTTCAAAGCATTAAGTGTTAAATGTTCCACTTCACGTCTCTTTCTTAGTGAAGCAGACCATTTGCTTTCAGTATCAAAACTGATTTCAAAAACAATAACTGATAAGGCAAGGAAATGGAATAGAAATGGAAATTGCAAGGAAATTAGTAGGTAAACAGCAGATTGGAAGGGTTGCATTCACACCCTGTGGTGTTACTTGTGTACCATATGTCTTTAAAGACTGTTTGGAAGCTACACTTGGTGCAAAACACCCACTTTATCTTCTCTCCAGGGTGGAAACCAAAATAAGGGGAGATAGTTTCTTAAGCACCAATAGCAAGTAATTATTTATTGTCTAGAAACACATGTTTTGGACCGTTCCTTCATCAAGGGCATTCTACAAGAAACCCTTACAAACAGTTTATGTGGTTTTATCCATGTAAAAACATCTGTGTCTAAAAGCAATATCCAGTACATAATAAACATGTTAAATAACCAGATGGCCTCTTGCGGAGAGGCAGGAATCTGAGCAACCCACTGCTGAAAAGTTACCAACCCATGAACTAAATTAAGCCTCTTAGGGTAATTATCCAGAGTTTTGGGCTGGAGACCACTGGTATCCTGACTTCTTAGGAGAAGTCATGCTTGTTTTGAATTTATATCCAATGTAGCAACAAAGTATATGAGGATAATAAACTGAGTTTGAATCTTATCGAAACAGACCTGGCTGAGTGTGTGGTTCCCAGTTGGACAGTTTGCCTATTACAGGGATCCTCAAACTTTTTAAACAGGGGGCCAATTCACAATCCCTCAGACTGTTGGGGGGCTGGACCGGCTGGGTGGGTGTGGTTAGGTGATCATGTGACTGGGTGGAAGTGGCCAATTTAGCAGTCCATTAAACAATATACACAAATTAAACTTTAATTTGCTTTGCTCCTGGGGGTGTTTTATTTGCTTTTATTTCCATGTTTCGCTTTTGGTTGACTTTTTTTTTTACTAGTTCGTTTTTTAAGTTGTATAGAAGTCTAGTGGTCCACTTCAGGAAACTCAGATTTGCAGCAATTCTTCTCAGTCCCAAGGAGCTTACAATCAACAAGTCTCTCCCTCCCTCCCTCCCTCCCTCCCTCTCTGTCTCTGTCTCTCTCTCTCTCTCTCCCCCTCCCCCTCCCTCCCTCCCTCCCTCCCTGACATATGGAGTGGGATGAGCAGTGTACTGAAGACCAGCTGGCTGGCAGTGAGGCGGGCCAATCCCATGATCTCCCCAAAAGTAACACATCTCTTGTTGCTTGAAACTTGAAGACTCAAGGCAGTCCTCGCCTCCCTTTGCCTCAGGCTCCGAGCTGTAAGCTGCATCAGAAAGCACTACAGCAGAGAGAAGCAGCTGTCCATAGCAGCTAGGAATCTCAAATACGGCCGCTGGTTGGAGCTACTAAACAGGCAGTCAAGCTGAAGGACTCCATCCCATCACTGGGAGTCCAGGCGACTCAGCGATTGGCAAGCGGCCGGGCTCCTTGAGAGACAAGTTCATGGGGGGCCGATCTAGTACCTAGGTTGGCTACAACACAATGTTCATTCTTGGCCGTATTTGAGATTCCTAGCTGCAATGGACACCAAAGCTAGGGTTGACCCTGGCCGCTTCTCTCCACTGCAGTGCTTCCTGGACATGACTTACAGCTCCGAGCCCAAAGTGGTGGTAGGCGAGGGCTGCCTTGGTGCCCCCAGCTGCAGGCTCATAACTGTCCATAGAGGATGTTCTCGAATTGGCACCGAGACCAGGGCCCTGGGAGGGCATGGGGGAAGACTTTTACGGCTTTATTTATGCCTCACAGAAGCAGCTCTGGGGGGGGCGAGAGCACCCAGCACCCAGCTTGCCCTCCCCTCCCCTCTGCCTCCGGTTCCACATCCAACCCACGATCAGGGGATGCACCACTTTTGGGCTAGTCCAGCTGGCAGGTGGGTGAGCCAATGACTAGCTGGCTGGCGGGGCATCACAATACAGGCAGCCTGCAGTCTCTGTAGGAAAAGCAACTGACATCCAGGAGGTGAGAATGAGGCGCCGCTGCCGCCGCTGTTGCCAGGGGCAAGTGCAGCAGGGTGTCACTCTGCTGGGTGATCCTGTGTGAAGAAGGGGGTGGCCGCTAGCAAGAGAGGGGAGAGTGCGAGGTTGATGCTTCTGGGATGAGGGGAGCCAGAAAGTGTCTGGGTTCAGTTCACCCAGCCTCTCTTCCTCTCACAGCCTTTTCTCTTCCTGCACAGCCCTCCTGATCTTTGAGACTGCGGCCAGGGTGGTGGGAGAAGGGAGGCGAGAGCACGGGAGATGGCGGTATTGGAGTCCTCCCTGGCTCTTCCTCAAAGCTGCCCTGACCTAAGTGGGCAAACCCGTGTGAAGAAGGGGGCGGCAGCTAGCAGAGAGGGGAGAGTGCAAAGGTGGGACAAGGGGAGCCAGCAGCATCTCCCTCCGCCAGCTGGCTGCAGCTGCTCACCCACCCATCCACCATCCTGGGAGCTGTGGCTGTGCCGGCAGCATCACCCCTTCGCCAGCTGGCCCTGCCCTGCCCACCCACGCCCTTCAGCCTTACTTTTGCAGCAGCAGCGGTGCGATGAGCGTTGATCTGTTGAAATGAGAACTGGGAAGTGCGGCTGGACAGTGGAAGATAAGGGTGATGGCTGGAGGAGGAGTGGGGCGATGTGGGCGGTGCAGCCTTGCGGTAAGCAAGGCACCTCCTCCCCAGAGCCCCCGTCAGTCGGGAAAAGCCAGCCACATGAGGAGTGGCTGGGAGGAGATGGGTGAGGGGCGGGGCTGAATCACATCACTCCATGGGCTGGATACATTCAGTCGGCAGGCCATATCTGGCCTGCGAACCCCTGGCCTATTAAATAGTGTATTTATTTTATTTAGATTTATTTATCATATTTAAGAACCACGTATTGCCCCTCACAGAGCTGCATTCTCTCTTTTTTTAAAATAGGTGTACAGTATGGAGGTTATCCTAAAACTATTAGCATCACTGGAGTCCCAAATGGCCAGGCTAAGCTGCACTATTAGACTCATGTTTAGATTATGAATCTGAGTATAAATAACCAGGGAGCAAGTTCTACAAAAATAGAAAGATGATGAATAAGTCTACAATTTCTTACATTGACTTTATCAAAGCTACAACTCTATAGAGACTACAGCTGGTCCAAAATATGGACAGGTACTGAGTCTGCCGTACCTCTGCCCTGCCTGCAAGTAAGCTACTGAGCCAAAATTGAGGTTTGTCTTGAAGGCCTTAAAGAAGTAATTCCTGACAGGATGCCTTCTTCATTACAGCCCTTGTTAGTTGCTAAGATCTGTATGAGCAGAGAACTGCAGAGAAGCATCTGATGATTGCCTGTGGCAAACCCTCCCTGTGGAACGTCTTCCCTACTGACATCCAGGGAGTTTCTACTATTCTATATCTGAGGCATCTGCTGGAAACCTATCAGTTTACCACTGACTTCCCTTTATGAATGCCAGATGAGTCTTTTGATTTTGTCCCTCTTCCTTTTAATGAGCAAATGTTATACTGTTTTTAAATCATTAGCTTTTAGTACTGCATTTTATGTTTTGAAAATTGTTCTGAAATGCATTACCACAGGAAATGGTATAAAAATGAGTTTGGCAAATTCTCAGTATCCCAGATGTGTCTACCAACTCAAAAAGTTGGGATTCCTGGCTTAGAACTTCATTTTTTTCAAAAGAGGCTCTTCTGAAAATGCATCTAGGTTTGGATGGCAGTTTATTGAGCAGACAGGAGGCTGCTTTCCCTAGCATCACCCTTGAGTGATGGAATGCAGACGTAGAAATGTATATGCTCCTAAAATGATCAGAAGTATCTCAGATCCTTCACTGCCTCTTTGCTGCTTGTCGTTTTTCAGTGCAAGTCTAAAACTGCTGTTTCTTTGGTTATTTATAAAAGTTAACATTCATATTAATATTAAAGAGTAATATTCTATAAAGCAGAGAATGGGAGAAAAGGTTGACAAGGTGAGTTTGAGTGTCTTGTAATTTTCCCTAGGTCTGATGCTGACAATGTTTACATTTATTAAGAGGCTCATGGAAAAAAAATAGGAAGGAAGGTAAAGTCTGGGTCTACAGAAAACCAGAACAGAATTGAAGTCATTAGTCACTTCTTTTAATTTTATAAAACTGTTGAGTTCATTGGTATAGATAAAATGATTTGATAGCACCAAATGAAAATAAATGCTAATAGTATGAATATTATGACTATTTTCTTTCTGTTCTTGTAGAACTGGCTCCTTGGTTACATGTGTTCAGATCGGAAAGTGCTGTTGACTTCTCTCAAATAACATTTGATCCAAGACAAAAAGAATTGATTGTTGGCGCAAGGTGAGATGCTATTTTTAAAATGTACCTTTTATTTTCCAAGTGCATTTGCGTTAAAAAAAACTGGGTTATATTTCTCTGTTATACTATGTTTTTAAGGCATGGGTAAGCAAGCTGGCATTTTCCTGAGGTTTTGGGATTTTAAGTTTCCATCAGTCCTATGTGGTTGTTGCCCAAAATGTGTGCGGAGTATTAGGTGAATTAAATTAGATGTATGAAAAAGAATTGTGACACTTGTGTTTATGATTTTCCACTCTCAGTATGTGACAAAGGCCCCTTTCCAATTTCAGTATGTAAATTCAGGCATTTCTCTGAATACACAGTGGCTTGAAATTGGATAAAGGATGAGCTTGCACGTGATAACCATGCTACTTCATCTCTGTGATTTTTCTTTTCTTTTATTACAATGGTGTAAATCATGATAGATTGCATTATTTCAATGTAGTTTTTAATTCATTGTTTATATAATGTGATTAAAATTATTAGCACTCTATTGTTTGAAAAGGCAGGGGGCACGATGGCTCAGCAGTTAAAGATGCTAAGCTTGTCAGCTGGAAAGCTGGCAGCCTGAATTTGAGATCTGAGCACTGTGTGATGGGGTGAGCTGCCGTTACTTGCCCCAGTTCCTGCCCTCCTAGCAGTTCGAAAGCCGACACATGCAAGTAGATCAATAGGTACCACTTCAATGGGGATGTAACAGTATTCTGTATGCCTTGGGGTATTGTCATGCTGGCCACCTGACCACAGAAATGTCTTCAGAAAATGCTGGCATTCTCTCAGCTAAAAAACAGAGATGAGCACTGTTCCCTGGAGTCAGACATGACTGGATAGAGGAAACCTTTGTCTTTTGTTACCTATATGAAAAGGTTACAGTATTGAAAAAAAAAGGAGAAAAATAAAATTCTTTACTAACTCTTAGGAAGTTAAGAAAGTAATTTTGAAAGCTTCATTTCCCTCTTGCCTTCCTGACTTTCAATGCCTGAAAATAATTGCAGGCTTCAGGCTGAGCTTAGAAAAGTAACTGCTTTAGAAAGTCAATAGAATCTAGTTTTCTTAGAAATGTTTAGAACTTCAGGCAAAGCTGTACAATCAGGTGAATTACATGATGTAGTTCTGGCTAAAATATATCTGTTCTGACTAGCAGCACTGAGTAACAAGTTTGAAGGCTCCCCCTCCCAAATAATCAGCCTAGCTTCAACATGTGGCACCTTTTATTACTTTAGCTGAGAATAATTTCTGCTGACTTGGTAACTTTCAGATAATATTTTATAAAGGAAAGTTATGAAGCATCTCATCTTATTCTAAAGCAGGGATGTCCAATCTTGGCAACTTTAAGACTTAGGGAGTGACCCTAACGGTTTGAGATCATGTAATTTCATAACAGAGATGTTATTATTCACGATTAATGTCAGTATTATTTTTAATTTAAGTTGCCAAGATTGGGCACCCTGGGTTAAAGTGAAGACAGATATACCAGTTTAGAAAGATTCACACCATCTTCAGTGAGTACCAACATGCCCTTCTCTCCTGAGGTGATCAGTGGAAACCAGACACATCAGGTTATATGAACCTAGTTATAAAGTGGATACTAATGCTGTCAAAATAGTTTTGAAATTGTGTTTTAAAACACAATTTCAAAACTATTTTGACAGCATTAGTGTGCAGTATTTTTACAGCATTAGTGTGCAGTATTTTTAAATTAAGTGGACATGAATGTGGATTATAAAACATACTACTCTTCTGAAGCATAGGATGATGGATCAGAATGATGGATGAGTTAGTATTCTCCTGCTAGTATTTCTGCACATCATGTGCATTTATGACGCTGGCTAAAATTATAGAAAAACCTACTGGGATTGTGCAAGTTCTTTTTTTTTTTTCCTTTCTCCTCCCTCTTTCTAAAGGGGCAATTTCCATTAGGGGTGAATTCTGCCATTCTGCTCTAACTCTAGGTTCTTGCTAGGTTCAATCAACCCAGAGAATGAAAACTGCAAACAGTAATAGAGTTAGCTAAATCTGCATGGCAAATTCTTAATTTATGATTCAGATGTCAGCATACTGGTTTCCCCCCTTTTATTATCCTAGCTTTGGTTTCAACTGTCTTCAAATTCTACCTGTTGTCCTAGACCTAGGTATCAGGTCAAACTGAACTTTAATAATAGTGTTTTCAGGAAGTGGCTTTGGCTTCAAGACAACCCCAACCCCAACCCAAACCCACAAGAGTTTGTGGCATCATCAACAGTTGCATGGACAGGACTTCCGGTTTGCTGCTTGTCCCCGCTGGACGCTCCTTCGGGATCGTCGAACCCACTGCCTTTAAGAGCCGCCTTTTTCAGCAGAATGGCGGCTCGAAAAAACTCCGTTTCCATTAGGAAACGGAGATAGAGCCAGCTGGGGTGGGTAGAGTCCTCTGCCTAATCCCAAAAGTTTTTTATTTACTTTTGGGAGGGAGCGGAAGAGACTCCCCGTATCCCCAGCCGATGCTCCGGGCTCTGGGAAATCTCTGCTACACGCAGAGCTAGGGGGCAAAAGCAAGCCTGTAAATCTGTCAAATAAATTAATTAAAGAAGATATGAGCTGGACCTCTGATCCTGAAGCGCAAGTATTTTTTTTTTATTCTATTTTGCCTAAGAAGTGAAGTGAAGGGAAAAAAGTTTTTTTTAAATGGCGATTGCTGCTGGGGCTTGAAGAGAGGCTGAAAGGGAAACTCCTTCCGTTTTCAATTACAAAGTAGTGGAATGAATACTTTTGGCTGTAACTGAAGGCAAAACCTCACTCTCACTTCTGTTTTTTTTTCCTTTTTTTTCCTTGGGGATCTGATATTGATCTTGGTTGGAAAAAAGTTTTTTTTTTCTCTTTTCCAGTAAATTTTGTCTGCGTGGAAAAATGGCACTGAGACTTATAAAGCTAGACAAACAGGCAGTGGGGGGGGGATTCCCCCATTAATAAATCACATCAACAAGTTTTAACTCTCCAGTCTCAGAAACCTGACTTTAATATAATAGAATTTCTTCTTGAGGAGATTGTAAGAAGGGATGAGATTGTGAATCAGCAACTTGAAAAATTTAAGTTGGAAATCAAAGAAATTGGTGAATTGGTGAAATATAAGTTTGGTTTTTTGGATCGAAAGATTTTAAAAACAGCTAATGGCTTAGCAGACTTTGTGATTCAGTTGGATGCAAATACTAAATTATTAGAGTCTAAAATGAAAGAAACTGAGGAGAATTTGGATGACAAGATCCAAAAAATTAAAAAGGATTTGGCAAACACTCAGGATAATAGCTCAGAAGACAAACTTAAAATGGAGGCTGATCAAAAGACTGGTAATGAAGAAAATGTACAACAGAGGATTGAAAGAGAAGTTTTAATGATCCAACACAATTTTACAGAATATGCAATTAGACTGAGAGGTCTGCAGGAAAATGACAGAGATGATTTAAGGAAGATATCTTCTGAAATTCTGGCTGGGATTTTAAAGGTTCAACCTGATGAAGTGTTTTGCAGGATTGACAGAATTTATAGAATAAACTCCTGGTTGGCAAAACAAAGGCAATTGCCTAGAGATGTGGTGATTTATTTTACAGACAGAGAAATTAGAAATAATATTGTGCAGAATTCTTATAATTCTACTTTGCAATTTCGTGGAAGAAAGATTTGGATTTTTAAGGAACTCCCGCCCAAGATGTTAATGGAGAGGAAGAAATTTGGTTTTCTAGTGAATGAGTTAAAAAAAAGGAATATTCTATTTAGGTGGGACGTCCCAGTTGGTTTAATATTGAGACACCAAGGAGTAAGATACCAACTGAATACTGTCGAAAAAGCGGAAGAATTTTATCAAAAAATTTTAAAAATAAATTTAACATCTTTAGGCATAACACAGGACAAGCAAAAGGAGCTGGAAATAAAGGGAAAACATCAAATTACAGAGGCTGTGGTAGATAAACTGTCTTCGGACTCCTTGGATACCCCAGCTGGACTGTCTATAAATTTGAGAGCAGTGTCATCTGATTGTAATGTGATGAATTATCAAGTTACAGACAAGTGCGTAAATCAACCAGTTGATATACAAGTGATGGAAAAGACATATGAGATAATAAAACAAAACCAACAAGATCAATTTACAAAGCAGAATGACAACCGATCAGCTGATACACAACTTGTAGGAAGGAAATCTGGATGGAAATGCAACCCGCAAAAGAAAAAGAAAAGAAACAGATCTCGTAGAAATAGTAGTTTCTAAACCAAGCAACAGTGAAGCCAGGGATTTTAAAAAATAAATGAATATGTGAAAAGATATTGGAGGCGAATTATCGTTTAATACTATCTTGAGGAAAGTGGCAGATCTCTGCAATGCCGTGATTTTGGGATGTGGAAAGAGCCTTACATTGTTGGATTTGAACTATCTATTTTGGATTTCTTTTACCGATAAATATATTATAATTATTTTGAGTTACAAGGCAAGAGAGTCATGCTGGGGCATGCAGAAGATCTGGCTGTTACCCACTAAGATGATGGGAATTTATAATCCTGATGAAAACCACAATTACAACTATATGGAATATAATTATAATGTCACTCGGGTGGTTGTTTTTACTTTTATATATACATGAGGATATTCATTATTGATGGGGGCAGAAGATGACTGAAGATTTTGAATAAACTGTTGCACCAGGATGCTATGTTACCCTATTATGGATGATGGATTTAACAATCTAGTGGAAAGACATCAAAGAAGATACTAAATGAATTATAAATTTAAAGTTATTGTCTTTTCTCTTTTTATAAAATGGAATGTATATATAGACATATGTATAATTTAGCAGAGTGGGCAGTGGATTATATTTAGAATTGTAGTGTATGGTAATCTTGCAGGAAACTGGGTTGAAATAGGCTAGTTTAGTGATTGATTAGTTTAAGAAAAAGGATTTTTAAGTCATATATTTTGGGGAGTGGAAGAATTGGATAGAACTGAATAAATGTTAAATTTGGAGAAGGCTGCTTTG